CTATGCTACTCTGGGGAAGTATGGGGTGAGAGGTTGCAGTTGGAAATATAAATGTGAGAGTCATCTCCTTAGAGATAATATATGAAGCTTTGGTACTAGATAATATCACCTAAGGAGGTGATGTAGAAAGAAAAGTCCCAGGAGTGAATACTGCAGCCTCAGCGTTTAAAAGTTGAGAAGGAAGACACAGCAGAGAGAATTTCTGGAGTAACTAGTGAGAACATACCAATAGTGTATGGTATCTGAGGAGGGAAATCTGATGCTTTAGCAAATGGGGTACTAGATTTTACTTCTTAGTGCAGACTTTCAGCTTGAGGCTTTACAACCATTAAGAGATGTTGGGAAAGTAATTGCTTTTTTTATCCTTTCTGATTCACGTTTCTGCAATTGTAAAAGTATGTCTAAATCGGGAGAGAAGTGATATGCCCTTATTTTATCATCTCTATTCTATAAGTTCTTTTTATTGAGAATAAGTAATTTGGAGAAAGAACTTAAGTATATGAAATGGAGAAATTTGGAGAAAGAACTTAAGTATATGAAATAGTCTTTAATGATGGTTTAAGTTATTGCAGGTCTTTAAATACTGCTTTGCTTTAAATTTTAGTAATTGATAATTCATCTATATAAGTGATAAGTTGGATGCAGTTGTCATATTTCTCTTTTTTGCTCTTTGAATATACATTTAGAATGGCCAATATGAATTGCCTGTCATGTATTTATTATACAGATAATTAAAATCATAATAGACTGATAAGACAAATTTTAAGATACAGTAGATCCTCTAGTTATTCACTGACAGCTGAGTATTCTCAAAATTATTTATTTTAAGTTTAATAATATCAATGTAAAAGAAGTCCCAAGAGTAGTAGATAACCCGATATACTAATTATAGATATATTAAAGCCATCAGGAAATTATTATATCATATTTTCACAATAATAAATAATAATCTGGTTACCTAAAATTCAACTTGCACAAATTTATTTATAAGGATAAGTTCTGGGACAACAGGAAACATATAAGCAGCTTAAACAAGATAGAAGCTTTTTCTCTTAAAAAAAAATAACGCCCCTAGAAGTGGTGTGGTGATTTTAATGCACCTAGGCCCTATTTTTTTGTTCTGATGTCCTTACCACCCAGCTTTGGCCTCATAATGTAATATGGCTGACTCAGGTTAACCATCACATCTACATAGCAGGCAGAAAAAAAGGAAAAGAAAGGGAAGATCTCCCTTTTAAGGATACTTCCCAGAAACTGCACACACCAGTTTTGTTTTACGTCCCACTGATCTTAACTCCCATGGACACACTTTAACTACAAGGGAGGCTAGGAAATTTAGTTTCTTTACTCTGGGCAGCCCCGTGCCTCAGTAGGATTTTGGTGTTCTTAATACTGACATGTATAGGAGTTAGTGTACAACTGGTAGTCTCTGTGCCACAGAGCTTTTAGACAATATAGGGAGAAACTGGTTTTATAGCAATGTGATTTTTTTCCTGTATTAAAGTATAAGTTATCTAATATACTACAGTCATTCTGTGAGTATTTTTAATGGATTTAGCATAGGAATTTGCCCTATATAACCAACCATACATACCTTTCTCTATATTATCAACTGAGAAGTCATTATAAGTTAGTGATTAAGAGTACGGAGCCACTCTACCCAGGATCATGTCTTGCCAGTGCTATGTGCCAGTGGTGTAACCTTGAGCAAGTTTTGTAACCTTTGTGGCCCAGTGTCTTCACCTTTAGATGAGAAAGAAGATAATAGTATCTAATTCACAGGATCGCTGTAAGGGTTACATAATTGGTTGTAAAGAACTTAGAAAAGCTCTTGGAATGGAGTAACCTCAAATTTTAGTTATTTCGGTAAATTAGCATGTTCTTAGTGAAAGTAATTTTAATATAACCCCAGGTAAAATAGAATCATTACTTGTATTAAGACATACTGGTATTTTGCTGTGGTAGAGGAAAAAGGATTGGATAATTGAAAAATGAGTCTGAGTTTGCTTATTTCATGGAGTATTTGATTAGTTATAGTGAATATGAGATTTTCCTATTTGGAAAACTATATTTTAGAGCATATATACAAATATATATCCTACAAATAGGTATCTACTTTGTGAACTTTTTATATTAAGGGGTGTGCATTTCAGTCTATTCAGAGCCAAGAAGTCAAAAGACTATTAGTAATGAAAATATCTTCTTACTTGTGTCTTGGGATAAGTAAATCTAACAATGAACCTGTTAGAGAATAATTACATGGCAGTTGAAAGGTGAGTGTCTTTTGAAATGGAACCAGGCTGAAGGCTTTGCTCAGTTTACTTTTCTAGGGGGTCTTGCCCAAGTCCCTGGTTGGTTAATACTCCTTTGTATTTGTTTTTTGGGGTTTTTAAAAACTATTAATTTATTTGATACACCATGTGCAGGCACAAGCAGGGGGAGCAGTAGGCAGAGGGAGAGGGGAGAATGAGCCTCTCCACTGAGCAGGGAGCCTGATGTAGGGCTCAGTTCCAGGACCCAGAGATCATAACCTGAGCCAAAGGCAAACGCTTTACCAACTGGGCCACCCAGACGCCCCTCCTTTGTTTTTTTGTGTAGCATACTGTACATGATTCTCTTAACAACTGGCAAATTTTATTGAAGTTGTTTCTTCCTATCTTTTGTACCACAACCTAAACAGAGACTCACTCATAGCTCTGTCCTCAGCATCCTACATACTGTAGGTGAACTTGTTGCAGTAGATACGGCAATTCAGGCTACCACTTTCATGGGTCTTAATTTTCAATCTCAAATCGAAAATACAGGAATTTTCACAGCCTTAAATTGTGCTTTAAATTTGGACATCTGCAACAAGATGTTTAGAAATACACATATTTCCATGATAAGTTATAATACTTCAGCAAAGTAATGCTTAGTGCTATTGAAACTCAGTTTAAAAAGCTCTGCTTTCTAGCTGTTAGTATCTTGTATCTTTTATACATGTTCTCATCTTTCTCACTCCATACTAAGGCATTACAGCAATAAGCTTATTTGTATGTTTTTAGATTAGAGTATGACGACTTTATTAGTTTAACTGAGGTCATCACGCTGCATGAAATGCAGGGGTAAATAAGAGGTGGTCAGTTTCTTCCGAAGGACAGTAACATTTTGTTTGACTACTTTGAGTCTGAAAACAATCTGCTACAGTTCAATTAGAGCATACATGAAGTGTGTGTGGTGTCTGGGTATGGGTATGGGTATATATCTATATCTCTAATATGTATAGTTTAATGTCAGAATTGGGTTATCTCCTTCATTGGGAGATGATTAGCTTCTTTAGTTTCATAATGAAATAAAAGCCAACAGACAGTCTAGTCTGTGTTTTGTATGGGATATTTGGGTGTAATACAGGGCCTTAGAGTACAGAGTGCTGACTGAGGCAGTCAAGGTAGATGGAGTTAATCAGTACTCCTTACTAATCATGTCAGATTCATTCAGATATGTATTGGTCACTATTCTAGTGGCAGCACATCCCACACTGTCACAGAATCTTTAAAGGGCTGTGCTGAAAGCTGCTGACGTGCCTTCGCATAGACATTAAATTTTAGTCGTTTTCTCAATGGATTTTAATGAACCTTTCTAAAAGTCCATCAGAGATTCAGGCATTAGAGGAAAACCCTCTATTTTAATGGGCTAAAAACAATAATCATCCTCAATGTTGTCATGTGGTCAAACAAGAGTTAGAATGTGGAAATGCTGAATGAGCCCCACAGTATGTTCACGCATACCTTTTCTACTTTTCCACAGCAGTCTGTAGTACTGCTGTGCCTTCTGCATATATATATATATATATATATTTTTAAATTTTTATTTATTTATGATAGTCACGGAGAGAGAGAGAGAGAGAGAGAGAGAGAGAGAGAGAGAGAGAGAGGCAGAGTCACAGGCAGAGGGAGAAGCGGGCTCCATGCACCGGGAGCCTGATGTGGGATTCGATCCCGGGACTCCAGGATCGCGCCCTGGGCCAAAGGCAGGCGCCAAACCGCTGCGCCACCCAGGGATCCCGCCTTCTGCATATATTAAGTGCAAAACTCTTGAATGAAGAATGGATCAAAGAAAATAATAGGCTACTATGCTTTTAAACTTTCTTATTTTCCTTTTTTGATTTTTAAATTGGTTGTAAACTGAACAGGTTAAATTTGCAGTATCGTTTGTAATAATATATTGAAGAGGTTTTCATCAAAAGTCTAAAGACATTTGATGAAATAAATATAAAATATATATAAAATTGAATTAAATAACAAATTTTGGTAAGTCTTTGCTACTCATTTTTTTAATATTTTTTTTTGGTTAGGAATAAAAATTCTTTTCTTCAGATTTATTTTTGGGAAAAGAAACTGTGTAGAGATAATTATATAAGCAGTTTTGAAAATATTTAAAAATATTTACATCTATATTAAGTTTGGCAGAATAGGACACCTACATTGTTTTTACATTTCAAAAAACAAACAGGTGGGCAGCCCAGGTGGCTCAGCGGTTTAGTGCCGCCTTTAGCCCGGGGCATGATCCTGGAGACCTGGGATCGAGTCCCACGTCAGGCTCCCTGCATGGAGCCTGCTTCTCCCTCTGCCTGTGTCTCTGTGTCTTTCTCTCTGTGTGTCTCTCATGAATAAATAAATAAAATCTTTTTTTTTTTTTATAAATTAATTTTTATTGGTGTTCAATTTACCAACAAATAAAATCTTAAAAACAAAAACAAAAAAAAAAACAGGCTTTATTTCCTAGGTATTGCTCCTAAGTCAAATTATACGATCTGGGAACTAAGGTTGGCTGTTTTGTGTTTTGCTTTCAAATTTCAAAGATGATTTTGGTTAATATGCCTTGCATTAAACGTTAGCTTTTTATTTAAGAAATATACTGTGCTCAGTAATTTCCTGCCTATTCCTCTTCCTTTTTTTTTTTTTTTTAACTTTTCAAATAGCTCCATAATCTTCAAACTTCCCTTTCCTGTCTTTTTAAAGGTCGATTGAGTTATCCACATCCAGGAACTGATAATCTGTTGATGTTAAATGGTAAGTTTTATAAAAATATTTTGTTTCTGATTTGGCTCCTATAAATAAATATGATTGAGAGCATGGTTCTCTATACCTTCCCCATACACAGAAGTTCATTATTTTATAAGTATAAAAATAAAACTACAACTTTTTTTTACAGAAAGTGGAATTACAAGTTTGAATATATTCTGGCTGTCAAAGCAGTCATTATAGTGTATTTATGATGGTGTGATTTAATTCATTGATCACAGACTTTGGATAGAGTCCAGGGTTTGAATACTGGCTTTCTAGTTTATGGTGAGACTTTGTTTAGTAACTTCTGTGAACTTTAGTTTCCCATTTATGAAATGGGAATAACAATCTTAGGGTATTATGAGAATTAAACGAGATAATGTTTGCAAAGTGCAGAGAACTTGTTACTTAGTATATGGGACTTGTGGTTATGTTAACCAGGGAATGAATATACCAATGATTCTGTGTAAATATAGTGCTCACACTAACTTAATTTACTCTAACTATAAAGTTTACACAATGAACTTCAAGAGGATAAATAAACTTTCATTAAACTTTGTTTTCTTTCTGTTGGACAAGTAGTGTATTCAGAGTCACAGTCCTTAGCACATCCATGATTGTGGGAGTAGCCATGGAGGATGAAAATATCCTTCACAAAGGTATTTTTAAATCAGAGGGTGGACCAAGAAAGGAAAGTGGGAGGAAGGAAGAACAGAGATAGTACTTACTTTAAAATACAGAATTATATAATTAGAATGGCTTGGCTCCTCTATTTCAGCTAAAGCTTTGTGGAGAACAGATGGCAGTGAAGTTGGGGAACAAAGTCTAAAAACAAGGCCAGTGTAAAGTTCAACCATGTGAACTAATACTAAGTAAAAACTGTAGTGACAGAAAGGTGGTAATAAAGTCCAGGCCACCTGGGAGATTGTCAAAGTAGATAGGATTTTGGGATGAGAGAAAAATTGAATAAGAAAAGTGTCTAGTGATATGATTGGTTCATTTAACATTGGACTATTATATATTGAGTGGCCCACCACATGCCAGCTTATTCTAAGCATTGGGTTATCCATTAGGGTCTTGAAGGATGGTTAGAGGTTGAGTCGCCAAGAATCTTACCCTGGGGCCTGACTGTGCTCTCCAGGTTGAGGCCATGTCTGGGCTAGACCTCATAATAGCCCAATAGGCCACATTCATGAATTCAGTGAATTAGAGTGCTTACCTACAGATTTTGACCAGAAAGGTACTAGAAATCACATTCCTGGACTTCTTCAGTCAACTTTTTTTTCTACCATGGAATTAAAAAAAAAAAATCATACTGTTTGAGTAGCCGGTCTCTGAATTCTAAGTCTGTTTCTAAAACTTACAATGTTGAACTTGAGTTTACAAACTGAAAATGGTCATAATTTTTATCTTCATGATGTGATTTATAAAATAATGATGGGTTTAGGTAACAAACTATATGTTTATCCTGAATTCCTTAAATAATTTTCTTTGGGGACATTGTATGTGATAAAGACCGTTCACATTTCTATTTTAACTTCTAAAACAATTCAATGGGAAAAAAATGAATTTGCATTTATTTCTCATACTCTGTTAAGATCCATTTGAAGGAAGGGTGCTGTATGAGACAGTTTGTTAGATCATTCACAGATGTTGCTGCATGTGTAGGGTAATTCAGAAGTATATTGTAATCACAATAGAATACATCAGTTATGTGTGAGCAAAGAACTTAGGAGCCACAGTGCTTTTGCAACTTACACTTTTGGTTACAATAAATATTATTTTTAAAGATTTTATTGTTTGAGAGAGAGAGAGAGAACATGAGCTAGGGGGAGGGGAGAGGGACAAGCAGAGATTCTGAGCTGAGCAGGAGCCCCGTGCAGGGCTCATCCCAGGACCCTGAGATCATGTCCTGAGCTGAAACCAAGAGTCAGACATTTAACCGACTGAGCTACCCAGGCACTCTGGGACTACACTAAATATTATTAAATTAATTGGTTTCATCAGTTGCTTAAAGCCTTCATAAATAACCTAGATATTACAAGTGTTTCATCACATAGTAGACACAAGAATATTTTATTTTAGGCAGTAGTTGAATCTTGTGGACAAATCAGTTTTTTCATTATGTGAGCCCTCTTAATAGCCTGCCACTCTAAGACCACATTACATATTCGATAAGGTAAGCTGTCCTGGATATTCTGAACTTTGTCTGGCAAGGGACTAGGAAAGAGAAAAGATAATGAAACTAGGACATCAAAATGTGTTTAGGGTCAGTAAGGACAGTTTGATCCAAAGAGAAAAAAAAACATTATTTTGCTCATTTGGGATCATTGTTAAGGGGGAAGCAAGAATCAGGAAATTGGGTATATTTATAGGATAAGGAAGTATATTAAGGATTTAAGTAACTTTTGTGTAGACATCTACATTTTGAAGAGAGAAGTAGCCAAATGACAATAAAAAATAAGGGGAAATTTTCCTTGATCTGCTTTTAATTCTTGTAATTCAATATATTCTTAACATATTATCTCTCTATGAAACATGAATTAAGTGATATTAATACCAAGCCTTCACCTGTACTAAATAATAGTTAAATATTATTGATGAAAGAAATCATAGCATCTCAATACATAGACTTTTTAAGTCATTTTTTTTAGTATGCCACAGATTTATACTCACTGTTAACAATTGATGAAGTTGTATTACTTAACCAACAAGCATAACTAACATTATTAACTTGGGAAATCCATATTTGGTAATAAATTATACATCAGTGTTTTTTTATGGTGGTCTAGCAATAGTTAACAGTATTTGGTACCACAGGCTAGATTATCTAGGTTTAAACCCAACTTTGCTATTTTCTGTGTGACCTTGGACAGTTTACCTAACTTCAATTTGACTCATGTTCTTTATGTCAAAAGAAGATAAAATGCTGCCTGCCTCAGAGGAATGGTTTTGAGAAGTGAGGGAATTCATTCATGTAGAGTGTTTAGAACAGTTCCTATAAGTAAGAGTTAGCTGTGGCAGTGGGTGATGATGAACAGTGACAAAATGACTTTGAAAGAATACAAACGTGTCCTCTAAATAGATGATAGTGTTGGGGAATATAAAATTAAAAGAAGATGTAACCAATGTTTTCAAGTATTTAAAGGAAGTTATGTATAGTGACCAAAGAAGGTTTGTTTTATGTTACTGCAGGAAGCCAAACCAGAACCATTTGGAAGGAGCTATAATAGGAACAAAATTTGGGTCAAAAGCAAAATGACTCAGGCAGTGTTTCCAAAAGTGTGGTGTGCATGTCCCTTGTGGTACCCCAGATCACTTTTGGTGGTACACAAATACATATTAAGATAAATGCATGACTACTACAATTTAAGAACATTCCTTAGAAAACACAGAACTTGCAGAAATCTGTGATGTTATTATTATTAGGCTATTACTAGGTGGTGGGCTTGAGTCCATTTAATAAAAAATAATATATAAATACTAGTATAATTGTTATGCAGATAAGGCAAATGTTGTAAACCTTTCATGATTCTACCTTCCTGGTCAATTAATATTAGAGTTAAACTTTGAAATATTCCTTTAAGGGATAAACAGGGAATGAGGTGTAAAGGTCAGGAAGTTGGTCAGACTAGGTAAACTGTGAAATACCTCTGACAAATCCTTAACTTTGAGCCTCTGTTAACTTAGAGAAAAAGAGGTATAATCCCACATCTATAGAACTCATGAAGTTGTATAGATTAAAAAAAAATTAACAGTAAAATAATGCCATAGAAGTATAACTGCAAGTAGGCTCCTGAACAGATCATGTTCCTCAATCTAACTAGAGTTGAATTGACGGGTAGAAACTGCCACTTTTGAATAATACTGTACAAGAGTCCAAATTTAACATCCGGAAGTACTTTAGGGAAGTCACATTATATAGGAATGAGTAGATTGTCTAAAAATCAGAAGTTAAGTGCTGTCTGAAGTTAGAATGACAACTCGAATGTTTATATCTGTCAATGTATAAATCTTATATATTTTGTTATCAGTAGGAATAAACAAAGCAGAGCCAGCTTGTTTTTTGTGGTGAGGACCAATGCAAAATGATGGATCGTTCAAGTGTTTGTTTCTATTTGGATCATGTTGTGTTTCTCTCACCCCTCTCCTGAGGAAAGTAGATTATGTTTTTTAAAATATACAGCTTTCAAAAGGAGAACAGACAGCAGAAGTATGGACTGATGCAAACGGGTTTGAAATTTAAATTTGCTGTGATTAACCACATAACAGCCATGTTTGTAATCAAGAGCTTGCTCTACTTTTTGGGAGGAAAGAAGTTATGTTTATCTTTTAATTAAGAAAATTTACTCAGTAATGAAATTGTGTTTCTGAGGGCAGATATTCTAAATATACTGTATTAAGTCATGAAAATAGGAAACTTGAGTACATAATCAGTTCTTTTTTATGCTGATGGAAGTAAGTGGAGTAGATAACAGATTTATTTTGGATCTGGAAAAGGATTATGATTTGCGGGTATATTTCTCTCCCTAGTTTTGGCTTTTTAGAGCAAGAAATAAGAATTTCTTTAGTTTCACACCAAGAGAACTTTAACCTAAATATTTCCAGCTAATTTAGTATGTTTACCCATCTCTACCTCCAGCTGCAGTAATTCATATACCACAGCTGTAGCCAAGAGCCAATGCATAGGGGCATAACGATGCCAAAGAGAATGTCATAATCTTCCTACTTCTTTTTTATGGGTTAGAACCTAAATAAGACTACTGGTAACCCAGGACCAAATTGTAAAGTCACTTATATAGCAAAGGTCTTTTTTCACAGGCTTATTATCTCCATGACAAAAATAAATGTATTTAAAAATATAGGGCAGCCCCAATGGCTCAGCAGTTTAGCACCGCCTTCAGCCCAGGGCGTGATCCTGGAGACCCGGGATAGAGTCCCATGTTAGGCTCCCTGCATGGAGCCTGCTTCTCCCTCTGCCTGTGTCTCTGCCTCTCTCTCTCTCTCTCTCTGTGTGTGTGTGTGTCTTTCATGAATAAATAAAATCTTTAAATATATATATAATCTAACGTGCATATTTATACACACACATATATATTTATATATGTATGTCAAATAGCCAGTTCCTTACTTTTGAATGAGTTGTACTTTTTTATAATGTTTTATAAAACTTACGTGTCTGAAATTTAATATTCTAAGTACAGTTTTTATACAAGACCTCACTTTTTTTTTTCTAAGTCATTTTCTAAATGAATTTGGAGGGGCATATTGTTTAAAGAAGTTTTCTTTAAAACATAATGAATAGTAATTTAATGATTTTCTTTTCTCACTGGGGGCTCTTGACAATTCTGAATCAGAGTTATAGAGGAAATTCTCATAAGAACACTGGTGGGAAAGTGAGTACACACACCGTTGTTTAGTGTGATGGTAGCAGATTGCTTATTTCCATGACAGGGGATAGGAAATGTGTCACATGGGTTAGCCTCATCTGCAGTGAGTTCTATTTTTGGTTATGTAGAGATTTGGAATTTGAGAGTTGTCCAAAAAATAAGCAGAATAGCTCTTTACAGGATTCTAAAATTCCTCAGGTATGAGATAGTTGGAGAAATTTTCTAAATAATGTGTTCAAGCCTAGGAATGAGATGAAACCTTAAGATGCTATGAACATTTGTACATATTTTGACTATTTTAGTATTGAATAGCCTCAGCAAAGAATATAAACTGGTTATGATGTCATTAATTTTCTCAGGTCAAGAATTATGTGCCATGTTATTACTTCATTATCATAGTTTGACTTTAAATTTGATGAGAATAGTTTTATTTGCTTTATGAATGATCCAGCCTTCTACACTCATGAATGAAATACCATAAAACAAACATATTGGATTAATACCATTTAGATCATGCCTATAGATAAGTAGGAAGCCTAATTCCTAAGACTGGTGCTTTTGAGTGTTTGGAGGCCTATTGACCATCTCCACACTTTACAACTATAAAGACTTCAGTGAATTGATTCTTTTGTAGTCTGTACTTTTTAGCTCTTTTAAAATTGGTGTTAGATTTTCCATAGTTGATCTCCCATCTCTTTGTGACCCTGAATTTTTAAGTCTTTTATAATCTTCGAAGACTTCCATAGCAAAGTTCTAAATGTCACTTCCACTCCTACCCTTACCCTAAACTAAAAATAGGTCAGGTAGGTTATATGTAATATATACAGCTAGTGTACATGTAAGCTGCCTACACACACAAACACACAGGTAAGATTATATATAAACTAGTGTACAGATCAGGCAATCAACTAGGCTGAAGCAATTGGAGCTCCTGAAAAGATTAAATCTGCAGTAATTCTAGCTAAATAAAGACAATAGACAGATGGAAATGAAGGTTTGTTTTGTTTTTTTTTTATAAAAGATTCTGATGGAAGCCTGGTATTCATTGACTTACTTTTTGAAGTGTAAATGACTTAAGGGTTGACAAGTTGTTTTTCCCACTGTTACTCTAAAGGAATTTGACTGTATTCTCACCTGTGGAGACACCGTTCTTTACATTAAAGCCTTATGTTTTGTAAAACTTCTATAATAGAATGTATTTAATGATATGAAATGTTTTCTTTTGATCTTTCCTTTATACTTTGGGGGGGGACTATATTTTTGATGACTTTGACTTTCAATATATATTTTGATTTGAGATTTATTCAGAAAGTAAGTTTCCCAGGCCTAAAAAAATTTCATGAAACATGGGTTAAGATCTTGACTTTAATGGTCATTTTTTTCCTTTTGGTTTATTGCTTTGATTTCATATATTAATTCCAGGGTAAAAATACTCAATGTATATTCAGATCTGTGGGGAAGAGTTATTTAAAAGTATGTTGTGGATTTGATGAAACTGATAGTTTCTTATGGAGAATAAATTACAGTATTATTTTCCCTAAAGAATTAAGTAAACTGCTAATGTAGATTGAAATGCCTTTCTGCTTTATACTTTTATAGTATTTGACATATGTGCTATTCTATGATTATACTAATAATAATTTGTGTCTGAATCCCTCTTACCCCAGAGACAGAGATATAAACACTTAGATAGGGATTATAAAGTGTGCCAAAAGAATTGAAAGCATTGTTAGCTATATCGTTAGTCATTTCTTCAACTAAGCATCTTTGAACTTGAATTAATTTCTTTACCTTCTCTCTAAGCTCTACAAGCTTCAGAGTATCAGTTTAACGTTGTTAAATCTTTTAATTCTTCTATGTCTTCCAGTACCTTCTCCAAGGCTTGGTGTAATGTGAATTGGATTTGAATAGCTATTTGTTGGACTGTGTCTGCTGTATCACTCTTTATAATTAGGAAAATAAGGATTTAATTCAGGTTGTTTCCATTCATTATTTGGGAAGCTATTTAACTGTAAGGAGTTATATATTACTATCCTGATCAGATGAAAGAAATATTTATTCATGACTTTGAGCATGAATGAGAATAAATGGTTTATTTCCTATTAATTTTATTTTTTGTACAATTCAGAGGAATATAGATATATATATCTTAGATATAGTAACAGTGCTTTGTAAATGATAAAACACCATGCAGATATTATATGGCAACATTGTCCTAGTTCTTAAAGTAGCACTGATTATCACATGCCCACTTAGCTTCTCATATCACGAATATTTGTATGGGTGGGCTTGTTTTTAGTTCTGACATTTTACAATTTGTCCTTTGTTTACATGCAGCAAGGAGTTATGGGCGAAGACGAGGTAATTCATTTCTGTTTGCTATGGTATAACTGTTTTTAATTGGGTTTTACTGATCAATGCTGTAATTAGCCTAGATTTTTTTATGCACTATCTGAACACTCATAGAAAAGTTATATTTTGATTTGTGTACTTGTCAAAGTTCTGAATCCTAAATCTCTTAACCTTTAAAGCACATTTTCATACTAATATAGTTATTTAATAAATGTCTTCCTTTTAAACTGTCCAGATTTTAACTATTTAATTTTTATACCTTTTAAAATAAAGCTGCTATTTATAATTTAAGAAATATGTCTAATAAAGACTAGTGAAGGTGACATTGCAATATGATTTTTCTAGTCTCTAAATCTATAACTGATTATCTATGGTATATAATTTACAACTCTAATAGGCTCTTGTTAACACTGATCTATAGAAATGATGTTGCTAATATTTCCTCTGTGTCTTCTAAGAATATGCTTTCCTTCTCCCTCTCTCTACATCATGTAGGCACACTCACACACTTGTTCACACCCTCTCTCCCCCACACCAGTCTTCCCTTCTGAGTTCTTGACTATCCTTAGGTTATAAGATGCTGGGCTACTAAACCTCTTTGGATAGCAGCTGACATGTTCTGTGGCTTAAACTTGGCTTCTCTCTCTCATATGCAGACTGGGAAGGAGAAAAGTAGATGGGATGAGAAGCAAAACTAACTTTACACCACTAGATTATCCTCTAAGTGCACAATAATCATGATATTTAAATAGCTGTTTTAAGTACCAAATGAATAAAAAGGATTTTCCTTGACCCCTAAAATCTCCCTTGAACCATGAAGTATAGACAGTTAATAATAGTGCCTTTTGATAAATTTTATAAGTGTGTGCCAGTGCTTCAATTTCTTTTCATGTAGTCATAAGTACGTGCATTTTGAAAACAAATAAGCTAAAACTTTCTGCCACCACTGACGACCGAAACGATTATATATATATATATTTCTAAGTAGTATTGCCAGTTTGTATGTCACATTGTCTGAATTTAACTTCATTTTTGGAATCTGGTTTCTTCAAATGCTTGACTGAATCTTTTGATTCTTTTAGTTCTCTGACTTAAATATAGAATATAGGAACTCAAAACTCCAAAAACTAAAGCTGAACAATCTTCTAAAGGTTGTTAGCAACTGAGAAGAGACGGGGAACAATTTAGAATTTTAGTACCTATTTTCACATCTATGGACTGTCCTATTTCAACTGTGCTATATTAATATGGAGCTTCAATTCTTTTGGAAAAACCTACTTATCAACCTGTGATTTTTAGGTATTTTTGAAACTATAGAGCAATTTAATTTAGGATCTTTTCCTTTTATACACTTTTCATCTTTTAACATTAGTAATTTATGTTTAATCTAATTTGGCATACTCCAACATATGTATTATGATCTAGGAAGTTCTCAGGAGCACGATATCAGAAAGTCACATTGTTGTTTATCTTCTTTTATCTCAGTTTAATAATTACAGACTATGACTATGATATTATGAAAAAGCAAATTTTTTTCTTTTCAGATAGGAACTTATTACTCTTTATGGCTCTCAGAGGATAGAGATATATAAGATTTCCTCTACTTCAGAGCTGCCTGCCAGCTTTGGAAGAAAGAAGACTCTCATGTGGTTTTAAAGCTTCTGGAGAAGCTTTCTTTAGGATGAAACTGAGAGTTGTCACACTTACTTGGCTTAATATGGAGGGGTAACGCCTGAATTTTCCTCTCAAATTATATGGCATTAGTAATTTTTTAGTTGATCCTCTGTGAATAGTCGGATTCTGCTTTTAAAATTTCAATTTTGATGGCCAGATGAAAAGTATGCCCATTAGAAATATCTATTGAGACATTTTATTTGAATTTGAAAGTACTTTGACACAGTAATAAAACATTAAAAAAAGAAAGAAAGAAACCCACACACATACCAAAGGAATGACTCAGAAGGAACTAGAAGTAGCCTGGCTCTCTTCCTATTTTCTACTCATTTTTTCCCCTTTCTAGCTAGATACAGTATTATTATCACACTGATAACCTTTTAACTACCAAGATCCCCCTTGTATGGGCTTAGTATTTAACATTTTGTCTATCAAAGGAACTGCATTAATTTTATTCAATCATTTTTATTTTCTTAAAAAAAAGTCTGATACATATCAAATCTGCTCATGTGGGATGTGTCACAATGAGTTGATATAATTCTTAACCAAAAATAGGACATAGCTCTTTATCAGTGCAGTGGTAGGTGAACAGTATTTTATCTTCACATGATTGACTTTGTAATCCAGTTTAGGAAGAACTGTTTGTTCTTACTTGATACCTTTGACTCACCTTTAAACCCAGGCACAGAGGAGCTGTTTTCATTGAAAAGATTTCCCACTTGACTGCAGTCAAACCAAATTACCACCAAATGACTTTTATATATTTTAATTTCCTTAATAATGTCAAGAACTGTAAATCAAGCTGGTTGTAGATATTAATATATGAAATATACCTTAGGAATATTCAAAATTAATTATGCTGGAAGTAATTAAGAAAGAGCAAATATTTCTTTCCCTGTTTTTCAATTGGGACCTGTCCCAACTCCTGTGTATCTCTATATTCTGGGGGCCAGGATTAGGAAGGAGGAAGAGTCTCTTATGGGGAGCTGACTTTCACATATGGAAAACTGTCTTTAAAAAAATTTTTTATTTATTTATTCATGAGTGACACAGAAAGAGAGGAAGAGACAAAGGCAGAGAGAGAAGCAGGCTCCATGCAGGGAGCCTGACGTGGGACTGGATCCCAGGACTCCAGGACCACGCCCTGGGCCAAAGGCAGATGCTCAACTGCTGAGCCATCTAAAAGTGAACATACTGGTCTGGGGTTGAAGTAGGGTGGGAGTGTAAAGGGAGATGTGAAATGTAATTTAAGTTTTGTCTCTCCACTTCAAATATTTTTATATTGCAATCTGTCCCTATTTAGTAAAGGATTAAAGAGCTACTGTGCTCCCAAAGGAACAAAAATATATAGGATATTTTAAATAATGGAAATAGAGCCTATTTTCGTTAATAGGGCTAAACCTCACAATGCAGTCTGTTCTAGCAGGTAATCCCAAAGCTTGAGTTAGTGGATTGTATATGGAATGAAACAGGAGAAATTATCTTAAAAGAGAATGACATTTTGGAAGTTTATGGAGAAGTTGGATTTATTTATACTATGTAGCCATTCAGGTTTATGCACCATAATAAACAAGGAATTATTAATAATACAGTATACCATCTATTGCTATCATATCCTTTTATGGTGTATTCAAGGCTGAAATTCTTCATCTTTGATAAATACTTTTGATAACTATAAGAGAATGAGCAGAATCACCCAAGCATGAAAAAAAGCCAGAGACAGAGGTCAACAAGCTGTGGCCAACAAGCCAAACTTCCTATTTTTTTAAACAAATTTTTATATTAGAACACAGCAATGCCCATTCACTTTTTGTCTGGTTGCTTGGGAGCTACAGTGATGGTAGAGTTGAGTAGTTACAATAGTACATATAACAGTGTGAACTACAAAGTCTAAAAAATTTATTATCTGGCCCTTTACAGAAAAGATTGCTTACCCCTTCTCCTTGAAGAGGCTGACTCTACCTACTCTGCATCTATACCAATTTCTAAAAGAAATAAAGTTGTAGTGAACTTGAAATATATCTAGAAATTAATTTACAAAGACATTACTAGGCTCTAATTGATTATTAGAATTAAATATATTATCCATCCTCCATGAGATGAACCTATTATTGGCGCAAAATCTATTCATGAGAGAGAGAGAGAGAGAGAGAGAAGCAGAGACACAGGCAGAGGGAGAAGCAGGCTCCATGCAGGGAGCCTGACTTAGGATCCCAGGTCTCCAGGATCACAGCCCCAGGCCGAAGGCAGGAGCTCAACCACAGAGCCACCCAGGCGTCCCCTGGGGCAAAATCTTTCTAGGTGATAAGGGTACCTTAGAGCTTCTTCCTTAATTCTTTGGAAAAGTATCCCTTTTCAGTGATTCTATCTGATTAAACAGATGATGCTTAAGAGAGTTTAGTCTTGGATCTACCTCTTGTTTTGATAGTTTTTTTATCCTTTCATATTAAATAAAAATCATGCTATCACATTGGTTGATTTTCTACTCCAGTAGAGTGACTGCTAGAATCTTAGAAGAGGGGAAGAATATTCATATCCTTAATTTATATGGTTTGTTTTTATTTTTAGAGCATCTAGTAAATGAAAGTAAAGGATAACACATTTGAGATCAAAGAACTATGCTTAGATTCAAATTGTAAATTGCCTCATTTTTGTACAAATGTTTTTCTTTTCTTTTCCTACCTCCCCTTTTGGTATGTTGAGAAATTTCTTTAATCTGGTCTTCTGAAATAAGATCAAAATCTGAAAAAGTCAGTATAGCCTTGGTTTGAGTGGATTGATATAGCCACCAAAGTAAAGTTAATAATTGCTTACAACCCTTCTTAATGTAGGCATGTGTGCAGTATGTACCTACCCACACCAAGACACCAGGTGTTGGGGGCACCTGTCCATCTTGGTCACACAAGCAACCCAGTCGTAATTTAGACTCTTGCCCTGTCTTTGGTATAGGAAGCTCATCATGTAGCTTTTATTATTGGATGGAGTAAACATTTTTTTATGAGGATATAGAGAAGTCTCAAGCATTCTCCAGTCCTTTTTATTAAAATATTTTGAAGTAATTTGAATGCTAATTATCCATAACAAATGAGGCTCATGTTTGTCGTAGTAGCTATGGTTTATAGGTAGAAGATAATTTATAGGCAGAAGTATTATCCCTCCTTTATAGGTAGAAGGCAATACTGAACCAAAAGTTACAGACACTTTCAAAAGGCCAGATGAAGGTAAAATAAAGAAAACTGGAGACATCATTAGCTATGTGCTCAAAAGACCTACTTACAAATAGAAGTAAAATACCTTACAGTAAGTTACTTGTCACCTAAAATGTACAATAAAAA